ACGGAACCAAGTTGGCGCCAAGTGCGGAGTCTCTGACGCGCCGCTATCGAAGCCGCAATTGGCTCAAATCGAGCGCGCAGACCTGCGCACCACGCGTCCCACGTGCGATATTGGGGCACCTCCACGAAATATGACGGTGCCCAGGGTCCGGTTTGTCCTTCCCGTATCTGTAGAGTCGCGTAGTCGTTCGGCTTCGTGACGATGACACGCCACCAATCCATGGCGGGTCCTCGCAGTAGTGACACGGCGTAGCGGATTTTCACCGTACCCTCCGAGACGTAGTTGGCGTCGAAGAAGACGTTCGTCGTGAATAACCACGCCTGAACGGTAGGACCACCCCGTTGACTAGGATCGGAGCATGGCGAACGCTGCGGCTTCAGCAGCATCGGTGACGACAGTTCCAAATCGTTGGTTGGTGCCGAAATCGTGACGCGAGGCTGGCTTCGGGCCGCATTCGTTGCCTCGAGGTGTGTCGCGCCGTGGTCGTCGTCTCCGTCGTGGCGGACGACGCCATCACTAGTCGCGCTCGCAGGTCACCCCACATTTCCATGTTGTGATGCCTGTGGTGCAGGTTGTCCCAGAGTGCCAGGTGCTTGTGATTGTACTTGTTGTGCTCGTGCGGCGTCATTCTGCATGAACATGCGTTCGGCCGTCTGCACCGCAATTTCTTCGAAGCTTTCGTGAAGTTGGCGCAACAGCTCGTTCAGACGGTCATGCGTGAGAGTGGTGACGTCAATATGTTCAGCCATGGCGAAGGGCGTCGGCTCGGCTTAGTCTAGTCGCGGTCGTGGCTGCACGCGTTTACGGGAGAACGCGAGGACATCAGCTCATATGGGCCAAGGTGCATGAGTCCCTTCGAGTGAAAAATCAAAAGTTGATTTCCTGGGGTGCGGAGATGCGCGGTCCGAAAAGGAAAGAAGCTCTGATACCAAGTGTAAAACGAGTACAAAATGTGAGCGAAGGCATGAGCGAACATTTATATGCGAACCATGCAAACGGTAACGCGGTGCGTGCGAGCTAGCTAGTGCTATGCTGGCAGCGAGGTTCGGGCTAGTCCTGAAGCGCAGGTCGAAAAGGCCAGGCCAGCAGTGCGTGGTTTGGTGGAAATAATGTGCGCGAGGTTGGCGAAGCCCCGTTAGCAGTAACGGGCGAACAACGGCTGCTGCTGTACGCGAACAATGGCGAGAAAATTCCTTACAGCAGGGGTTGGCAGACTTTCCGTGTATGCGACTAAGTGTGAGAGCCCAACTCAGCATACTCCACATAGCTTCGGCTCTCACACTTAGTCGCATTCTGCTCAATGGATCTTCCCAAAAGCGCATTCGCCGCAGGAAACCCTACAAGCTTATACTGGTCGCGATGATGAGTGAAGCCACGTCACCATGTCACCCCACGGGCCTCCCCTCCCCTTGCTGTGCATCCCCTCCCATCATCGCGCCTCTCCTCCTCGCGGCGACCCCCTCCTCATTGCGCCTTCCCTCGTCATGTCTCCCCTCCTTTCAACGCGCCACCACCCTCGTCGCACTGCCCTTCGTCGCGGCTGTCCTCCCCCTGCCCTTCTCGGACATGCCCATCCGTTGCCTTCACTTCCCTGCCCTCCCATTTCCTCCTCTTTTGCGAGTGCGACTTGCGCTTTTGTGACTGCGAATGCGATGGCGAAAGCGAGAGCGAGAAACGTATGCTTCGAAGCACCTCGCACACGATTCAATCTCGCTGTTCGCGTCAGCGGCTTTTGCGGGGCCTTGAGCACCTCATGTCTTCCCCGCACCTCACCCATCTCTGCTTCTTATCCATTCCTGCACTCACCGGCCCCGCACGTCACTCATTCTTGAGAACTCCGCACATTGTGCCCGTAGCGCCGTATTGCGCACACTCGCAATCACTGCGATCCGCGGCGTCACAGCTCCCTTACCTCCGTCCATCCCCTCTCCACATTAACTCCCTTACGTCCTTCGCTCCCCTCTCCACAATAACTCCCTTACCTCCTTCGCTCCCCTCTCCCCCCACCGCCCCGCTCCACCTCACGCCCTCCTCTCCATCTCACTCCTGCCCCCATCCTTCCGTATTACTCCCCTCCCTTGTCCCTTACACAGAGTCACATTCTCGCCCGCGGGGAGCAGGGCGTGGGAAGCCGGGGCACAGTGCACGGGGGCAGCGAGGGAGAGGCGGCAGAAACTACTCGCGGCATGGGTGGAGAGGGGCGCGGAGAGGTCAAAAGCGGCAGCAGCGGAAGAAAGGGAAGCGCGCGCATGGGGTGTCCTGGTGGCAGTGGTGGCAGTGTAAGTTCCAGCCACAGCGGTGTCAGTGCTAGTGTTAGCTACGGTACCAGTAACCATAGTGTCATTAGCAGCCGGGCTAGAAGAAGCAGGTGTGGGAGCGACTGTGCTAGCGGTAGGTGTGCTCCCGCTGCCGCTGTTGCTGCTCCTTTGGCTGCTTTCAGCGGTACCGAAGCAGCTTGTAGTGAGCCAGTGAGGGAGCCCGCACATCCCCTTGGAAAAAACGGCAGGCGAGGCTCGCCCCCTGCCCTGGCCCACCAGCTGCAGGCGCCACGTGCTGCCTTTGAGTTGAACCGAAAGGAGAAGGTCCGAGGAGATTCACCCTCATCCACGCACCGTCATTGGCACCAGCAGCAGCAGCAGGCAACACGGGCTGCCCAGCACACACTGATGGCTCATCATCAACAGCGGCCTGGCTGTCCCCAACCAGCTAACAGCTCTTTCGGGTCCAGGGAGAGAGGCTTGAGGGGTGTAGAGAGGGGTGGGGAGTGGTCCAGGGGACTGCTGCTACAGCCGGGGCGAGTGTGGAGGAGGGTTCGAGCAGGGGAGTTTGCGCACGGATCTCTGCTCTCGTGGCATGTGTCGGCACCTGTGTTTGCCGTGGCTGCTGTGCTTCTCAGCAGCAGCGCTCGTTTTTGCCTGCCGGTTGCTGCAGCGTCTATGCAGCCCCTCTTGCCAAGCCACTGTACGTTCTACAAGCACTCCGCTCCTCCTCCTCCTTCTTTTCCTCCTCCTCCTTCTTTTCCTCCTCCTCTTACCCTTCCCCTCCCCCCCCCCTTCTCTTCACTCCCCTCCTCCCCTTCCCCACCGGCCTCCTCCCCGTGCCTATCCCCCTCGTTCCCAGTGGCTTTTATCCTCGTGTTCCCCTGTACCTCTTCTTTCCTGTTTCTCCTCCTTCCCTTCTTGTCCATCTCTCTTCTACTGCCGCTCCTCCACCAGTCCCTTATCTCCCCCGCAGTTTTTCACTCTCTTCAGCCGTCTCATCTCCCTCTCCCCGTATCAACTCCTTCCATCTCACCAGGGCGACACGTGCCAGTCCATAGGAGAGTACTTCAACCTCAACGGCTGCCTCAACAACAAGGACACCTTCTGCGCCACGGTCGTGCAGAGCCTCAACCCGGGCCTCACCTGCCAAGGCGGCTCGCAGGTGCGGCCGAACCGGGCGGTGTGTGTGGAGCGGCGAGCAGGGGCGGTGGGAAAGGGGGGGCAGGTGATCCCGGTGTGCTCGCAGTACTTCCTGGTGCAGACCGCCGAGACCTACGATGCCGTCCGCTCCGTGTCCTCCCTGCCGCTCTCCCCGCTCGACTTCTTCCGCCTCAACCCCGGCATCAAGTGCGGCCGGCTCGTGCCGGACGCTGCTGGTCTGGACCTGCACAAGGGCTTTGAGGTACGATCAAAAGGGTTCATTTTGAGTCGTCTCAAAACAGAGTTGTTGGCATGACGAGGTACAAGAAGCCTTGCATGACATATGCACGGGCGCCTGAAAAGTGCTCCATTCATGCATGACCTTACGAGGTTGTAACAAGGCCTGCATGCGGTGCTGCGTTGCCTTGCATCATGTAAGCACAGCACAGCACAGCACAGCACAGCACAGCATAAACAGAGGAAACGACTGAGGAAATGACAGCATGACCCATGTGGAGGTACGGAAAGGGAACTGCGGTGGGTGAGGAGATTATTGAAAATCACGGTATGGTGGATGGGCAGCAGGGAAGGTAAACAAGAGGAAGCGAGGCAATGAGAGAGGCGTGCCTGACAAGGTGCTTAGGGAAGGTACGAAAGCACAGCACAGCACAGCGCAGCGCATCTCTGACTGACTCCTTCCCCGCGCAGCATCCCATTCTCGTTACCTGTACCTGCTTGCATCCCATCCAATCCCATCCGATCCCATCCCATCCCATCGCAGGCGTGCATACAGGTATCGGGTGAGTACACCGTCGGGATCTGCCCTAAGAGCAAGGGGCTCACAGCAAGTGGGAGCGACCACTGCAGCTTCATCCAGATTAGGTACTTCAGGGGCATTCGAGGATGCTACAAGCGCATCAATGGGTACGAATGTGTTGAAAAAATACCCTCAGCCGCCAAAATATGCCTGCCATACCAAATCAGGATTCGTCAAAGAGTCTGCACGATATAAGTGCAGAGGTGTGTTGTGTTGTGCAGTTTCTGCGTGTATATTGTAGCCCTAGTATGGCCCCTCCTAGCGGTATGTTCGTTATGGTCAGTTTTTATTATTCATACGAATAAGCTTGTCTATAAGCAGTACTTGTACAAATGCGTATTGGTAGTCTAATACTTGTATTTGCTTGTAGTAGCACGTCTGGATATATATAAGTCCCTGGTGGTTTGGCGGGTAACCCCGTATTTGATGAGAGCTGACGAGCTCTAGGCAATTTTCGCGAAGAGGGCAGCTTCTGACGAGCCGAAACGAGCTTTCATACATTTGCATATATATATATATATATATATATACATCATTCTTCATCACTTGATCAACATTGCGTATCGTTCAAGTACAACTAGCAACAGGGTGTACACCGAGTAGCTGGATTTAGGCGAGTTCGGTGATACCGATCACCCCATGTAGCATGTCACACATCACCACAGCCGCCAGCCCCTCGAATCACTCGAAACCCACGCAAGCTCGCACACCAAACCGTAGAAGAACGCCAGAACATAAAACGTCCAGTTATTTTCCGCATTCAGTCACTAATTCGTAGCCCAATGGGTGATTTAGTGTCGGAGGGCCATGCGGTAGAGGAGCTAGTCAGATCCGTGGAGGATATACCCATCGGCGTCGCGGATGTTCTGACGGTGCTGCAGCGGCTGTGCTCAGAGCACGACCCTGAGGCCATGTCCGCCGTGCTGCACCATGGCCAAGCATACGCGCTCGACCACTTGCCGCGGCTGCGCCGCCTCGTGTTCCTCACCATGCGCTTCTTCGAAGCCGCGAGCCACTACCCTCTCTCTGAATTCCCCAAAGTTATGCAAGGTACGACCGCTGCTAACGCCGCTACCGTATCCTCCGCACTCTTTTTTTTAAAGAACGCAGTCGCTGAATCTATCGACCTGCTTATCGCAGCGCTTGTCTATTTTGCCCACCTGCCCTCGCCCCCCCCACTCCACACCCGCAACCCCTCTCTCCAGAGCTGGCGGCGTCCTTCCCCGAGGGCAGGAAGGAGGTGGTGGCAATCAGAGGCGCGCACCAGCACATCGGCGCGCTGGTCACCTCCAAGCAACTCATCCTGCAGCCGCGCACCAGCAGCCACGGCTTGCATGGGGACCTGGATTGGCAGCAGGAGCAGAGTGAGGGTGCGCTCCTGCTGGCGGATGGGGGCGTTAAGTGGCACGCAGACGGGGATGTGAAGCTGCAGGTGAATGGGGACGTGAAGTGGCAGGCGAATGGAGACGTGCGGAAGGAGGCTCTGCCTTGCACCCAAGCCACATCGCACTCCCTCCTCCTATCCTTTCTCAGTCACCTGGGTCGCCTCGCCAGCACCGTTGTCAAGGTCCTTCCCCTCCCACTCTGCTAACGCTCACACCCCCTCAGCTCACCCTTTGCTTTTTCTGCCTATTTCCCTCGCTTCGGCTTCCTATAGTGTCTCTTTTGCCGCCCTGTGCAATCTTATTTTCTTGTTCTTCTCTTCTAGTTCTTCTTTTCTTCCATTTCTCCGTCCTCGTTCAGTGCGATATCGACTGTGCTGCACTGGCGACTCACGACCCAACCATTCCCACCTTTTCTTCATGTCCTCAGGCCTCTGACAGCTACCTTCATCTGAACAAACAGTTGGCACACATGCTTCAGCCCTCTCCCGCCCTGGGCTCGGCAGAAGTGCCTCTAACTGTACAGGAGAAGTTTCAGCTGCTGCACCGTGCGCTTGCTTGCAGGCAGGAACGCGTGGATGCTGCTTGGAAGCAGCTGTGTGTATTGCAGGGGCAGGTGGAGAGGGAGGTGAGCCACCTGCGAGAGGCGATGCAAATAGCAGCAGCAGAAGCGGCCACAGCAACAGCAGCAGCAGCAGCAGCCGCAGAACTTGGAAAAAGGGGGGAGGTACAGCACAATTGGGGGTGGCGTGTTCGCAAGCTCTGGGATTTTTTCATCCGAAAGCCTCTGCTGTCGGGGTTGTCAGTCTTGCTTTCCGCTCCAGTTGTTTGCTTCCTGCTCAAATCCTGGTTACATGGCTCCCATTGGCTACTTGGTGCAATGTTCGCGAGACCCCGCCATGCTCAAGATCCCTAGTGTGCCTCTTGGCCACCCAGCAGAATACTACCGTACATACCGTATGTACATATTTGGATGCTGTATCTACCACTGCCAACAGTTAGCTACGGTAGTGTGCTAGCTAGATATTGGCTACAATCGCCGGTGTTGTACCCTATCCTCCTGCCTTGCCTAGTTGTTTGTACCCTCAATCCTATAGTGAACCCCCTCTTTGCTGGGCAAACTGTCTCCTCTCGCTACTCTTGACGTTCCTCTTAGCCTCCTAAACATAACTCCCTTCTAGCGACATGCTCAATCCTCAAAGCTCCCATCACAAGGTGAATGCTCGTACCATTCCCTGCCTTGGAGAAATTCCTTCAGGCACGCCGGCACGTGGGGTATGGGGCCATCGGCGGTAACTCTGAAATGGCGGAGCGATGTGAAAGCGGAGAGGAAAGGCGGGAGAGAGTGCAAGCGGCGCCAGTGGAGGAGGTCGAGACGAGTGAGGCGGGAGAATTTCACCAAAGAGTATGGCAGGTGCGGCAGGTCGCAGCGACAGATTTGCAGCGTGGCAAGGCGAGGCGGGCACGTGAGATAGGGCTGGGAGCAGCCTCTGGTGATGTTGGAGAGGCGGAGGGTGTGCAGGGAGGAGAAGCAGGAGAGGCATGCAAGGAAGTCCCGGCAGTCAGCGTTGTCCACCACCAGAGTGGTCAGCGCCGTTAGCTGCGTCAGCTGACTGTCACTGCCATACCCCGACAGCTTTGCACGGTCCAAGTGCAGGAAGCGCAGGTTGGCAGAGAAGCCACTCTCCACTTGCCAGAGCACATATCGGCTGCCAGCGAGTGCCATGTGCTCCAGGGCAGGGAAGAGCGCCATGTCCACATTGGAAGCAGGGCCTGACGTCACCAGCTGCAGCACCTTCAGCTGCTCACACACAGGCGCCCTCCACTCATCGCCGTTTCTGCGCCACCTAACCGTGCTGCAAAGATCTGCGGAGGTATAATTGCGGTAGTCAGCTCGAACGTCCAGCTGCTCGAGGGATGGTGCCACAGCTGCGATGAGCCGAGCCACGTGCACGGTTTCATCGGGGCATTGCACGCGCAGGCGACGCAGACGGGGCAGGCGAGGCAGGCAGGCAGAGTCGGAGCTCTCGCAGCGGTTGTCACAACCGAAAAAGAGGTCCTCCAGGCGAGTGAGACGAGAGAGGCCGTGGCGGAGAGAGCAGGGCGCGGTGTTGTTGACTCCGGAGCCTTGTGCACGGTGGAGGGATGGGAGGGAGAGCGAGGTGAGGCGGGTGAGGTGGCGGATGAGAGGGGGGAAGAATAGGTAGTGGGAGAGAGAGAGGGACGTGAGGTTGCAGAGAGGCAGCAGTCTCTCATAAGGAAATCCTGAGGCAACACCTGCATTGCTATCCCAATCCTCCTCGTTGCTTTCTTCTTCTACAACAAGCTCCCCTACCTCCTCCCTCTCCTCCCCAACTACCTCCTGCTCTCCCACTCCTTCCTCCTCCTCGTCCAGTCCCGGAATCCAGAGGTTGGAGTCGAGGCGAGTGAGGGAGGAGAGGCAGGAGAAGGAGGAGGGAATGGTGGAGATGGGGAGGTGCAGGGAGAGGGCGGAGAGGCACGAGGGCAGCCCCAGCAGCAGACCCTCAGACACGCCGCTCCAGCTGGTGCCATCCCCAGGGGGGTAGTGGCGTTTGAGGGTGCTTGGCACGTGCAGGGCGAGCGAGCGGAGGGAGTGGAGGAGGGCGAAGGGGGAGGGGAGGGAGAGCTGCGGAGGCATGGGGTCTTCTGGGAGGGCGAGGGCGAGGGAGGTGAGGCGCGAGAGGAGGAGGAGGGAGGAGGGGAGGCGGGAGAGAGGGAGGGAGAGGGCGGTGAGTTGGGGGCAGCGCAGGAAGAGCGAGTCGGGGAGTTTGAGCCGGTCTGTGAGGGTGTCCCCTTGAATGCAGAGCTGCTTGAGTCCCCGGCATCTCTTCAGCACGGCAAACAGCCCCCTCTCCATCTCCTGGCTCGCCTCTCCCCACCATCGCCGCACCTTCCTCTCCATCCCCGCATCCGCCCACCAGTCCTCCCGTCCATACCCCCACTGGTGGTTGGGTGAGAAGCCGGGCTCCAGGAGCAAGGAGAGGGAGGTGAGAGCAGGGAGAGCGGCAGCAGCGGCGAGCAGAGAGCGAAGATGGGAGGGGCGGAGGGGGCAGGCCGTGGTGGAGACGAGGGGCAGGGCGAGCGTAGAGAGGTTGGGGTAGCGGGCGAGGGTGTGCGCGAGGGAGGAGGGGGAGGGGAGCGAGGCGAACCAGATGGGAGAGAGGGGGCGCCAGGTGGTTAGATGGTGGGTGAAGCAGGAGGAGAGGGAGGAGGGGGTGATGGGAGGGGGAAGGGTGAAGGGAGGGCGGGATGAGGAGAGCAGGGAGAAGGGGGAGGTGGGGGAGGAGTGGATGACCCAGAAGGGAGAGTCAGAGGGGAGCCACGCGGAGGAGAAGAGAGGAGAGCCGTTGACACCTGCTGCTGCTCTCGTCTCGTGGTGGTTTATCCTGCAAAGAGGCTTGGAGGAAGAGAAAGTGGAGGGAGGGGGGTGGAGCAGGGGGATGGGCAGCCAGGAGAGTGAGAGGGGGTGGAGGGCGAGGGCGAAGCAGGAGGTGTGGAGGCTGCACCAGTGGTGCCACTCGCGGCACACCAGTCTCACTCTCGCCTGGTCCACAGGACTCTGCACCCGCTGCAACACGCCTTGTAGTACCTCCGGTGGTAACTGCACCAGCTGGGTGGCATTGGAAGTGCTGCTCTCTTCACTGTTGTTGCTACTGCCTTTCGTTGGACCCCCTTGCTGTAGTACCCCTGCTCGAATTTCCTCTGCTGTTAACTTCGGTTGGTCGGGCAAAGCATGATTTCTGTCACCCGCGCCATTGCACGAGCCTTTCACCTCGGCCTTCTGTGCTGCCTGCACCAACTCCCCTCCCTGCTCCGTCTCCTGCTGCTGCTGCTGCTGCTGCTCCCCCCCACCTCTTCTATTATGCCCTGACAAATCGAGTCCCCTTCCCCTTCCCCGTACCTCCCCACCTGCCGCCACCACTCCCTCTGCTCCTCCTTCTGCGCCTCACTCAACACCGATCCCTCAAACACACTCTCAAATCTCGTCGTCCTCCTCCTCTCCTCCTCAATTTCGTACGGTGTCTTCGGCCTCCTCCCTCGGTGCTCCTTCCCCCGCCCCTTCCACGTCCCCTCCTCCTCCTGCTCTCGTGCCCACCTTTTCCCCTGCAGGTATCCTTCGAGCCCCACGGGCACCACGACAGGGTTGTAGCCACGACCGAAGTTGAAGTGGGTGAGGGAGGAGAAGGCGGAGAGGAAAGAGGGGAGGGCGCGGAGCGGGGTGGACTGGAAGAGGTGGAGGCGAGTGAGGGAGGAGAAGAGGTGCAGGCAGTCAGGGAGGAGGGGAGTGTGGGAGTGGCAGATTTGGAGCGATTTGAGGTGGGGAGGGCAGGAGAGGGCGCAGTGGTGGTTGTGCGTGGAGAGGTTGAAGATGCGGAGGGCAGTGAGGGCGGGGAAAAGCGAGAGCAACGCGAGGAAGCGCGAGGAGTGCGGGTAGGACCCCACTATGAGCGTGCGCAGGTGCGGCAGCACGGGCAGGGGCGCACGTGGGGGGGAGTGGATGCGCAGGAAGGTGACGTTGGGGAGGAGCTGCGGCACGATGGCGGGTGCGGGCATGGGGGGGTGGGACGGCCATGGGGAGTCATGGACGGCCAAGTGGGTCAGGCGAGGCAGCACGCCCATGAATGCGAGTGTCTGCTGCTGCTGCTGCTGTGGCGGCGGGTCGGCATGTTCTGCTGCCACGTGCTCTTGCTCTGTGTGGGAACGCGCATGGCTGCGCACATTGCACAGCACAAGCTCCTCAAGGAAAGGGAAGAAACACGCAGCTGCCGTCTCTGATGCACCACGTGCGCCCTCTGATTCATCACCCCATGCCGTTTCCTCCCCCATTCCTCCCCCCCATCCTTGCACGGCCACGAAGGGCGAGCCTTGGATCTTGAGCGACTGCAGCTGAGGGCACAGCCGCCCCCACACCGCCAATGGGATGACGCCAGCTGTCCCCGCGAGAGTGACGTGGCGGAGGGAGGCTGACGAAGGGGTTGCTTCGGGCCACAACAGAGGTTCGGCGGGACCCTCACCAATGACGTGCAGATGAGACAAACGGGGCCAGTGGGCGAAGAGGGCGAGAGCAGCGGGGGATTGGAGAGGGGAGGCGAGGGGGATGGAGAGGAGAATGAGGGAGGAGAGGGAGGAGAGGCAGGGAGGGAAGGTGCAGTGAGCGAGGAGGGAGAGAGAGGTTAGGTTAGGGAGGGAGGCTAGGCACTGCCGGTGGCACTGGTGGGGGTGTGTGGAATCGTCGCTGGAGGAAGACGAACACGAGGAGGAGGAAGAGCAGCTGCAGCAGCGGCACGAAGGGGAGATAGAATCGTGGGGGGCGAGGAGGGCGTTGAGGCCCGTGGCGTCCTTTAGAGTGGAATCATCGTTTCCAGGCGGGAAGAGGGCGTTGAGACCCGTGCTGTGCCAGTCGCCTCCCACGTTGGTGGTCAGCTGCTGCAGGCGCGTGAGCGACCACAGCGAGGCAGGCAGCCACCCCACCACCCAGTCCTCGCCTCCCCACCCATCCTCCACGCATCCCCCGCCCTCCTCTTCCTCACCACCTCCCCCCTCCGCCTTCCCACCACGCCTTTTCCTCCTCTCCCCTTCCGCCCCTCTCGGCTTCACACACACTAGGAACGTCAAGGACTGCAGGCTCGGTCCGAGCCCAGCAAACAGGTCCGGCGAGAGAGGCTCGGAAAGGCCGGTGGTGGGGGATCCAAGGGAGAGGTGGAGGAGGGAGAGGCGGGAGAGAGAGTGGAAGGGGCGAGCGGAGAGGAGGAGCGGATGGTGGGGAGCAGAGAGGGAGAGGCGGAGGGAGCGGAGGGAGGAGAGGTGGGGAAGGAGGTAAGGCGGGAGGTCGGAGAGAGGCAGGGAGAGGTGGGCGAGACGGGAGAGCAAGGCAGCCACTTCTTCACTCATTGTGAGGTAGCTGTTGCTACCGAGGATAAAGTGCAGTGAGCGTAGATGCGGACAACTCGTTATAAGCTCCCTCATCTGCTCCGCCTGAGTGTGCTTCTTCCATCCCCAATCCTTTGGCTTTTCCAGTTCCTCGTGGATCGGGCACGAGGCGTCTCTGGGCGGCTCAGACACAAGGTGCAGCGACCGCAGGTTCACGCACGAGCGTGCCAAGCGCATCAATTCCGTAATCTGCCACGCCCCGCCTGAGCAGTAGTCGAGAGTCACGGGCATGTGCAGCGCGCTCACGTGCTGCGGGTGTCGCGACAGCAGCTGCTGGAGACGCGCGCGCAAGGCATCGGGGAGCGGGAGGGAGCGGATCTCCAGGCGCTGGTCCGTGGAGAGCGACGACACGGGGTCGGGGTCGCCGCGGCAGCCAAAGCTGCAGAGGTAGTAACCGCCCCGCATGACGCGCCTCAGCTGCTCCATGCCCATCAGGTCGTCGCTTAGAAACGGCGCTGCGTGCCGCCTCTCTGCTGCTGCCGCTGCCGATGCCGCTGCTCCCACATCTGCGTCGGCTACGCGTGCGAGTGCAGGCGGTGGTGGAGAGGACGGGGGTGGCAAGTCGGAGGGGGGGTGAGAGTCAGGACCTCTCGCGCAGGTCCCCTCGTGCGGCGGATCTTCCGTCGCAATGCGCGGCGATTCGCCCGTCGCACGGCGCGGCGGGTCGTCCAGGTCAAGGCACGGCGGGCAGTCCGTGGTCCACAATTTCGGCCGCGACGGGCAGCACGGCTCTTCCAAGCGCTCATCACGGCACGCGCTGCGCGGGATGCCGCACGGCTGGCTGTCGGCGCTGCTGGCTGACCCTCCGTGTCCGCCGAGCTTCACGAGCCGCCATCGAAGCGCGTGCGCGTCGAACAAGCACGCGAGCGCTGTGCTGCTGATTGGCCCGGCGGTGGTCTCCGAACTCATCGTTCGTCGCACGGCGCGCTCTCGCGACGAGCCGCGCGCGAAACGTGGCAGTCGCAAGATTAATGCCTCTAAAGACACGACGGGAAGCGCTGACGGGTGGATACGACGCGAGCTTGGGGCCTGCGACAGAGGGGAAAGGACCGTATTCTCTAGAATCGAAGCCTAAAGATAACAGCTACTACTCCTAGTCCTTGACCACCGGGTTGGTTGTTCTGGCTGCGTCATGTTTGGGCCAATGATTGCTTGTTTATGCGGTGTGGACGGGGGGATGTTGGTTGCTGTGGCTGAGTGAGAGGGCAGATTTTTTCGCTGACTGATGTCGTTAGCACCAAGCGGGCTAGGCGAAAAAGGCGTACAGTAAAAGGAGGCGATTGCGCGGGCTGCGACTTTTCGTGGCGGGTCGACCAAGCCCATGGTGTGACTGCGTCAACGAAACCCCCTGAATCCGTGCGACCATAGCGAAATCAGACAGGCAATGTGCCGTTTGACCGCAGGGAAAAATCCCGTAGCGCGCGCCAAGTGTGGCGTGTGCAGGGGCCTGCTACTGAGATTCAGGGGTTTTGCGGAAACCCTGGGCTAGGTTGGTGTGCGTTTAGGACTATCCGAAACCAAATATAAACCAGACGAGAAACATTTAGGAGTTCATGGTGACCCTATAATGGATGCTAACTACATGCAAACATTTGTATCAAAAGGGGGGGAAGTTCCACCAATTGGTGTCATACATTCGCATCTACCGTAGCTAGTTCTCTCCGCTATAGCATTATCTAATGCCTTCGACCACAGTTAGATATTTTTTTCCCCAGTGCAACCCTCTCTTGTTTGTTCACATGTAACACCTTACTGTACCAGACCTGCTAACATTGTTGGATTGCCATTGCCACTGCAAAAAATGGGTGCCTGACCAGGCACACTATGCCGAGGCACCTTGAGAAACCACCATAACGTTGGCATGAGCACGGCCCAGTAGGGCAAATCGGTGTGTACAAATTTATTATCGTACATTATTGTCAGCAAATCACGGAGGCGAAAGTGGCACCGACGGTGAGAGGGCATGGCCTGAATGAGACGAGGCCATGGAGGAGAGAGACGAGGAAGAGAGCGACGGGACCGGCATGCCATGCCCCTGCCGTTGCACCTCGATCGTCGCATGCCGTATTCCCCACTGCTTCTTGCACAGGCGCCGGGCCGCTGCTGCAATTTCTTCAGGCGCGGCAGTCGGGAGGGCGAGGATGCGGCAGGAGAGCACGGACTTGTTGAGCGACAGCTGCCACACATGCAGGCTGTGCACCGATGCCACTCCTGGCAGCTCCGAGAGGGTGTGGCGCACCTGAAGAGAGATGAGGAAGAGGGAGGGGAGGAGGCGGTTAGGGGAGGGGAGATGAGCCTGCGGCGAGAAATGGAAGCGTGGGGAATGTGGAGAGGAACATCGTAATGGATATGGAGGGAATGCAACTGAAGCATAGAGAAAGAGCAGAGTTCGAAGGAAGAGGAGGTGGCAGGGCATATGCAGCATCACATGTGGGCATACATGCCTGCACATACATGCGCATGTCCACACATTCTTCAAGCAGAGAGGGATGTATAGAAAATGTGGACATAACTTCTCATCAGTCTCCACACTGCACCCCCAAGACGAGGGAAACGGCAACAAAACTCTCTGTTTCTCCAAAGGCATACCTCTTCAGTGTCCACGTTGCGAGGAGCAGTCTGCAGCAGCACGGAGACAATGTCGCCCGTGATGCCCGTGGTGGTGGCCAGCACGAGGAACGAGAACAGGAACGTGCACAGCAGGTCCACCCACTGCCTGCTCTCCACACAAGCGCACACCAGGAAATGGCACAAATAGACGGATTTCACATGACGCTTCAGGACTCATGTGGTTTGCAGGAATGCGGGAAGAATGACATGGACGCAACAGCATACATGTGCGAAACAAGCGCAGACCCAAGCAAGCTTCACAACCGTGAGTGCTTGATTGTAGGTGAAGAGCCGGGGGAGCTTACATGGAAGGGTAGGCCCAGATGACAGCGCCGGCAATGAGCACACCAATGGACTGCAGCAGGTCGCCCAGCACGTGCAGCAGCGCGCCCCTCATGTTCACATTCACGTTCAAGTCCACCCGCATGCTCACGTCCCGCTCCCTGCCATGCCCCGACGGCACCACGCCCCCCGCCCCTGCCGGCACTGCTGCTGCCTGGCTGCGCCACACTATGGACGCCACGGCTGTCGCCACGCCCGCCACTGCTGCCACAGCTGCTGTTGCTGCTGCCTCAACCGCGCCTGCTGCTGGCTCGGGAAGAGAGGCTTTGGAGTGGGTTGGTGGTTTCTTGCCGTGGCTGCAGCTGTGCTCTGGCTTTCGCTGCTCGCCTTGTCGGCTGCTCTCCTTGCGGGTGCCGTGCGGGGCCGGGGCATGCGAGTGGGCATGCACGTGTGGTTGTGAGTGGGCATGCGATTTGGAGTGGGCCTGCGAGTGTGAGCAGTCCTGGTTGAGAATGAGAGGCAGGGAGGACTCGTCGCACACAGCGAGCGAGGAGGAGGAGGAGGAGATTGTTGACAGTTCAATGGGGGTAGTGGGAGATAAAGCCAGTGCGTCGCCTGAACCAGCATCATCAGCATGAGTGTGAGCCGGTGCGGCAGCGTGAGCAGGATAAGACGCGAGGAGTGGGAGTTCCACTGCCACGTGGTCTGTGTGACACCCATCCGATTGTTGTTGTTGCTGGCGATGGTCATGGTGGTGGTGGTGGTGGTGGGTGTGCTCATGTGCATGGTCATGTGCATGGTCATGTGCATGGTCATGTGCATGGTCATGTGCATGGTCATGTGCATGGTTATGTACATGGTCATGTGCATGTGCATGGTCATGTGCATGGTCATGTACATGGTCATGTGCATGGCGTTTGGCACGGGGATCAGCAGCATCAGTGTGAGTGTGCGAATGGCCATGCGTGCATCCCAGATGCTCGCGTGCATGCCCATGCCCGTGGGAGTGTGCGTGCTCCGTGGCAGGCTGCTTCGAGTGCGAGTGATTGAGCGAATGCGAGTGGTCGTGCCAGTGAGAGTCGTCGTCACAGTGGCTGTTGTGACTGTGCTCGTGGTCGTGACTGTGCGAGTGCCCGTGGTCATGAGAGCAAGAGGTGCCGAGGTGCATGTGGAAGTGTGGGATGGACGAGGACGCGCCGTCGGTGCCAATGACGGCGGGTGTGTGCAGGCACACGGCCATCACGATGTTCGCCACTGTGCCGAACGCCGCTATCACGAACATCAGCCCGCCGTCCACGGGAGGGTGGTGATAGAACAGCCTGCACATGCGCAATTGGCGGGTTTTGGCAGGGCAAGTGGGAGCAACTCGCTTAGACGCCGGGATTGGAGGTTTGGGGGGAAGGGGAACGGGGAGGAAAGGGGTTTGGGTGGGGGGTTGTGGGTGGGAAGGGGGACGGGGGAAGATGAGAACGAGGGTATTGGATGAGAGATGGAGGCAATGCAGGCAGGGAAATCGGCAGTGCGCTACGGCTGAGAGGGCGTTGGGAGACAGTTGCTAGTTCACGGGCGGGCCCGGGGACAAGCGCATCAACGGCGCGCGAGCGAGCGTGTGCGGGGAGCAGAGCGGAGCAGGGCGGCGCACCGGGAGATGGCTTCGTAGAGGATGAGCGCCGTGACGACCCAGATGAGCGCCACGGACGCCAGAGCGCCCACCACCTCCGCGCGCACGTAGCCGTACGTGAAGCGCGGGTCGGGGCGCCACCCCGCCATGCGCACCGCGAGCAGCGATATCACCAGCCCCGCCACGTCCGTTAGTAGGTGCGCCGCGTCCGTCATTATCGCGAGGCTGCTGGCCAGTAGGCCTGCGGGAAGGGAGAGTGGGAGGGAGGCATGACGGGAGCGTTAATAGAGTTTGCGAGGAGGTAGCGAGGGGAGAATTAACAGCGAGGGAGGAATTAGGTTAGCGCGAAATCAGGGACTACCGAGGGACACGAGAAGAAACAAAAGGCGACGACAACACAAATTTCCCGGCCTGTGAATGGGGGGGAGGTGGGAGGGGGGAGGGGGGGAGGGAAAAGGGGAAGGTGGCAAAATTGAGTGAGTCAGGGTGGAGGATAACGAATTAAGGATGGAGTGGAGATAACGGGGGGAAAGGAGCAGCGAGTATGTGAGTGAGGCGCGCAAGAGCACGCACCGCCAACGACCTCGACGAGCATGAAGACGAAGCAGATGCCCACCACGAGCGTGAGCTTCCGCTCCACCAGCCGCCGCTCCTCCGCCTCCGCCAGCTCCGCGTGCAGCTCGCGCGCCTCGTCGTCCTCGTCGTCGTCGTCGTCGTCCACGGGGACGTGCGCCATCGCCGCGCTGCGGTAGCACTCGCTCTGCCACTCCGCGTCCGCGAAGCTTCGGGTCCCGCTCTCCGCGTGCTGGCCGTCCTTCATGTGGAAGGCTGGTTGACGGACCGGGAGAAATCACAGGTGCGCGTGGTGCTGAACGTGAAGCGAGGGTTGCCGACAATCTAGGAAGAGGCTAAGTTTGACTGGAAAATGAAATCGGAGGCTGACGGAGGATGGTCAATTTCGAACTATCGTACTCAGAACGACGTCAGGGAGTGCAGATATGCTGCTTCGTATTCCAACTTCCACTGACGAACAATTTTTGAATGAAGGGTATGGTTTCTAAAATCAACTAGGTAGGGGCTGCTAATCCGAAGCACGAGGCTCATCCGAACCTCCTGTGCAGGTGTCTTCCTATCTGAACTCGTGAACTGGCGGCGGCGCACAATGCACTACGGGAAAGATTGTCAGAAAAGGAAACAGGTAATTTACTCAGATGTCCAGGAAAAGCAGGGTACAAAACCTTTGTTTAGGATGTATATATGCGTCTAGCTTACGCCTACTAAAACGAGAACCTTGCATAGATATGCAAGCTAAACTGTTTACATCGGCCTAGGTCATTGGTATAGTTGGCCACAGTCACAACTCAGTGGTGTCTCCCTGCTGAGGTTCCGCCCACGCGCGCTTCCGAAAGTTGTCCCTCACCAAGAACTCCCATGGGAACATTGGAGGTCTACAGTGGAATAGGAACCTGTCCAAGGAGGACGCCTATAAGGGATCATGCGGAGCGCCTGTGGGGCGGAGGTCTTTATGCCATGTCAGCTCATTGGGAGCCTGGGCCTTCGGGTGTGCCTGGCTTTGATCATCGAACGTCGGCGATTGGTCTGCCAGCATCGACGGCTTCGCGTTGTTGGGGAGGTGGAGTTGATTGCATCGCTGGGTGAACCCAAGCCAATCTGACGTGACCAAGTGCAGATCCCCTTTTTCCCGAAGATCCGACCAAGTGGGAAGGGCGAACCCCCTCCCCTGCAAACGAGACAGGACAGGACAGGTCACAAGCGAGAATGTGTGATATTGCGTTCACTCGTTTCTGAGTCGCACATCCCCTTTCTGTGTGGTGCGGACAAGTTTTTTAGAGAGCGAGGCGTGTTACATTTTCTAAACGGTTCAGATTCCGAACATCGGACTAAGGGCGTGTTACATTTTCTCGCCATTCCTTATGGAGTCCGGCTACATCGCGCACAGCAACAGCCGTTGTTCGCCCGTTACTGCTAACGGGGCTTCGCCAACTTCGCGCGCACTGTTTTGCCAAACCTCGCACTGCTGGCCCGGCCGTGTCGGCCTACGCTTCGGGACTAGCCCGAACCTCGATGCCAGCCTAGCACTAGCTAGCTCGCACGCACCGCGTTACCGTTTGCATGTTTCGCGTATAAATGTTCGCTCATGCCTTCGCTCACATTTTGTACTCGTTTGACACCTTAGTGCAATCCTCGCTACCTCGATCCATTGCACCCGTAACACTTGGTATCAGAGCTTCTTTCCTTTGTGGACCGCGCATCTCCGCACCCCCAGGAAAACAACTTCTGATTTTTCACTCACGCACCTTAGCCCTAGGAGCCACTGTCCTCCCGTTCTCCCGTAAACGCGTGCAGCCACGACCGTGCCTAGACTAAGCTGAGCCGACGCCCTTCGCCGTGGCCAAGCACATCGACGTCACCACCCTCATGCAGGAGCGTCTGAACGAACTGCTGCAGCAACTTCGCGAAAGCTCTGAAGAAATCGTGGCGCTGACTGCAGAACGCACGTCCCTGCAAAATGGCATTGCACGAGCACAGCAAGCACAATCTCAAGCACCCGGCACTCCGGAACAGCCCTCACCACAGGCATCGCAACACGGAAGTTGGGGCGACCTGCGAGCGCGGCTACTGATGGCGTCGTCCGCTACGACGGAGACGACGACGGCGTGACACACCCCGAGGCGACGAATGCGGCCCGAAGCCAGCCCCGCGTCACGATTTCGGCATCGACCAACGATTCGGCACTGCCGTCACCGATGCCGCTGAAGCCGCAGCGTCCGCCATGCTTTGACCCGAGTCAACGGGATGGTCCAACCGTTCGGGCGTGGTTGTTCACGATAAACATGTTTTTCGATGCCAACTACGTCTCGGAGGATATGGCGAAAATTCGCTACGCCGTGTCGCTGCTGCGAGGACCCGCCATGGATTGGTGGCGCGTCATCGTCACGAAGCCGAACGACTACGCGACTCTACCGACACGGGAAGGACAAACCGGACCCTGGGCGCCGTCGTATTTCGTGGAGGTGCCCCAATATCGCACGTGGGACGCGTGGTGCGCAGGTCTGCGCGCTCGATTTGAGCCAATTGCGGCTTCGATCGCGGCGCGTCAGAAGCTCCGCACTTGGCGCCAACTCGGTTCCGTCCAAGACTACACCAGCGGGTTTCTGGCGCTATGCGAGCAAGTGGGATACATGCACGAGAGCGAGCGCGTCGACCGCTACATCGACGGACTACAGCACGACATCGCTCAGAAAATCCAGCATCGCGGCGTCACCGACTTTCAGGAGATTCTCGCTATGGCGGAGAAGCTCGACTTCTTCCGCCGACCGAGACCGGGGTCCTATGGAAGCAGCAGTAACTGGGGACATCGATCTCGTGGGACGAACGAGGGCGCTACGATACGTGCCGTCGCCGCGAATGCCGCAGCTGCTCCGTTCAAAGGGCGCTGCTTTGCGTGCAATCGGCCGGGACACCGCAAGAGCGAATGCCCGGAAAACGCTAAGGGAAAGGGGGAAGCTGAGCAGCAGAAACAGACCAAGCAGCAGGGAAACGCTGGGAGTCAGTAGCAGACGGGCCCTCTACTGACAGGTCACGCAGCTCGTCCGACCCAACCGACCCTCACCGAGTGATTGTGCCGGTTCATGCAGTCGACCACACTCGGCCGAATAAGGAGGGTACCGCGGTAGACAGCCCCATACTGCTTAGTGGGAAAATTCGGACGGACTTAGTTGAAATCTTCGTAGACAGGGGAGCATTTTACTCGGTCGTGATTGGTTGCGACGGCACAATCCGCGAATCGACTGGACGACGGGTGACTGCACCGTGCGAGTGAACGGTAACAACATCGCCTTACCTCGCTGGGGCTCGCCTGAGTCTTCGTCGGTGCGTGTCAACGCGATCACAATGAAGCGCGCCGTAGCTGCATGAGCTGACATGTATGCGGTTGACATTCGGGAAGCCGAAGCAGCAGACCAGGGGGGTGATCTACGGAAACTGCTCGCCAACATACCGGATGACTTGGCAGCACTCTTGAAGCAGTACAGAGGGACATTCCCGGATGATCTGCCAACGGGACTGCCACCTCAGCGACCGCACGACTACATGATAGAACTAGAATTGGGGGCACAGCCGATAATAAAAGCGACAGTTCCGACTGACCCAACCCGAACTGGACGAACTGAGGAAGCAGCTCGATTACCTGCTCGAGAAGGAATTTATTCGCCCGAGTTCGTCTCCCTTCTCAGCACCGATACTGTTCACACCGAAGAAGGACGGGGGGTTTCGCATGTGCATAGACTACAGAGCACTGACCAGGGTTACCATTAAGTCACGTTGCCCCATCCCGCGAGCCGACGAACTGATCGACCAACTGCGCACAGCCCGGGTTTTCTCGAAAATCGACCTTAGAGGGGGTTACCACCAGATTCGCGTCAATCCACCAGTCTGCCCCAAGACAGCCTTTTAAACCCGCTACGGATCTTTCGAATACACCGTCATGCCCTTCGGACTGACCAACGCCCCCGCCACTTTCCAAATGACGATGAACGAGGCGTTCCGCCCGCTTTTAGATAAGTGCGTCATCGTCTACTTAGATGACATCCTAATCTATAGCCTCGACAGAGCACAGCACCTACAGGACATCGAAGCAGTTTTTAAAATACTGAGTGAGAACCGCCTACTGACGAAAGCGTCTAAGTGTGAGTTTTTACAGGTGAGACTGTAGTTTTTAGGCCACATTATTTCAGCCGACGGAGTGGAAATAGACCCGAAGAAGATCGCGACGATTCAGGCTTGGCACGCGCCGGCAAATCTGACTGCGCTGCAGCGTTATTTGGGGTTTGTCAACTATGTACGTCGGTTCGTCCTCGACATGGCGAACCTGACCACCCCGCTGACCGACCTGCTAAGGGGGTTGAGTACACGTGGGGGGAGAAAGAGCAAGCTGCCTTCTCGGCCCTCAAGAAAATTTTGTGCTAGTCGCACGTACTTCACATCGCAGATCCGCACCGACAGTTCGAGCTCGTCACCGACGCAAGTGACATCGCTGTGGGAGCAGTAATATTGCAGGATTTCGGGAACGGCCTTCAGCCAATCGCGTACGAGTCCCGCAAGCTGCACCCGCCCGAGCGCAACTACCCGATACACGACCGCGAGATGCTGGCGATCGTGCACGCGTTCAAGGTTTGGCGGTGTTACCTGACTGGCGCCGACGTGACAGTACGGACAGACCACCGATCACTTCCGTACTTTCTCGCCCAACCGAATCTCAATCCGTGACAGATCCGCTGGTTGGACTACCTCGAGTCCAACTTCCACTACACGGTTACGTACAAAAAAGGTGCATCCAACATCGCCGACGCACTCACCCGCCCTACCGCCCAACTCCATGCCATCCTACTCGCCCAGACCAACCCGCTTTTAACATGCCTATTCACCCACGAATACCGCACCGACCCATTTTTCACGACCGGAAATTCACAGCAACTGGCAGAAGCTAAAGGAGTCTATTAAAGACAGGCACCAACCGCATTTGGGTACCCGCGTACTCACTACTAAGGGAGTTGTTACTGCAGGAGGCACACGACGGGATTACTTCGGAACATTTTGGGGTAGAAAAAAGCGCGACAACAACTGCAGCTGTATTACTACTGGCCGGAGCTGTTGACCGACGTATGAAAGGCGGGTCAATTGCAGCCGATTCCACCGACCGCGCCTGGCAGCAGGTTACCATGGATTTCGTCACGGGGTTACCTTCGAACCCTAGGGGTAACGACGCGGTAATGGTCGTCGTTGACAGGTTGACGAAGA